CCTTTCGACGAGCTGTTGGGTCAGATATGTTGCTGCCTTAAATAAATTAATATTTTTAAGTGTTTGCTGCAGGTAGTGGGAGGGTCAGAGTTCGTGACCTTTTTTTTTTATCAATAAATAAGACCCGCACATGCGCATTTGGGCAACATCATTCATATCGTGTACACTAAAACCTACAGCAATTGTCATGTTTAGACGTCACATTCCTAGTAAACCGTTCATAATGTAGTCTTCCTTTCATTATACTCTCTCGTGACAAAAATATTTAATTTGATTAATTTTTTTCTCAATGACAATATACTTTAAATTGTTAAATCTTTTTTTTTTTGTTATTTTTGTCACATAGTTTTAGGTTTAAGTTTAATTCTGAAATTATTTTTAAAACAGCTTCTGTCACACCAGCTATTATTCCATTGCCTACAATGTCCTAGACCATTTTCTCACAATCCCTGCACTTGAATGATTTAGCAAGAGTACACACAACTGGGCTTAAATTTGTGACATATTACATTAGTGAGGATTAGAGATTGCACAACATTTTTCTTATCTGTTGGGTTACGATGTCTTCACAGCAAACTGATAAATTTACATTGAAGATTACGATAAATTCAGCAAACTGTTATGAAGACATTGTACGCCTTTTGAAATTTCATGATCAAATGTTGAAAATATTGCACCTTTATACTGAAAAGGGACACCGTGACAGAAAACGAACTGCCCTCTTTTAAGTGCAAATAAATTCATTTTACATAACCAGCTTTTCGATACATAAAGTGCAGATAAAAAGAGCACTTTGTGATCTTTTTATCTAGAAAGGTGCTATATAAATAAAATATTAAATTGTCTCATTACATGTCTTTTCCAGTATATTCTTGACTGGTTACTGGTTCTATATTATTATAATTGAGAGTGAATAAAGTGACATAAATAAATAATATTTAGTTCCATATAACAGTAGCATAAAAATAAGTGATGCCATTTGCTCTGCTGTCATTACTTGAAGAATTATAATTGTAAAAGATAAATGAATAATCCTAAAACTATGCTTTGGTAACTTATGCTATGTAATGGATGATCTTACAATGCTGTGCATGTCATGAGCTGCCCCTATTTTGCTAGCAAAGTAGGAAATAGGTGCAATAACTTATTGACACATGTAAACATAATTACAAATAGAGTCTATAAGGCAGAAACAGAGTGTGTACAATTTTAATGACACTAAAAGTCAGTATGACTTTCAGTATCATGTGTTTCTCCAACACAGCCTGAACTCCTGTAGTTAAACTTTCTTGTAATTTCTTAAAGAAATTTTCAGGAACGGTTCTCGAGGATTCTTGAATGACATTATTTTTAAAAAAGGATGAACCCACACTGCTTCAATAGTGTTGATCTCTGGGCTCTGGGGAGACCAATCCATGACTGACACTATTGTGTGCTTTGATGTTTCATGGCACATCAAAATCTGCCAGTGCTTCTTTGTATTCATTCCATCAGTTTAGATAAAATCCCCCACACCACTGACTGAATTCCAAATCCAAACCATGTTTACAGGTGACTGTAGACACTCACTGTTGTATCTCTTTCCAGGCCTCTTCTGGACACATTAACAAAATCTGGGGTCATCACCTCATAAGACTGATTTTAAGTCCAGTTCTTGTGTACTTTGGCATATCTCATCCTTTTCTTGTTTCTATCCCTTAAGAATGGCGTTTTGCCTGCCACCCTTCCACTGAGACCATTTCTGATGCGGCTTCAATGAAAAGTAGATGAATCAGTTGAAGGACCACATGCATCTCTCAGGTGCTGTTTCAGGTCTTTGCTTGATTTTTTCCTATTTCTTAAGGACATAACTTTCAGATACTGTCCATCTGATGTTGAAGCGCCTTGGGGCGACTGTTGTTGTGATTTGGCGCTATATAAATAAAATTGAATTGAATGTTGCTAGTAGCTCTTTGAGAATCGCTTTGTTGGTGCAAAACTACTATTTTTATGCCTGCCAAACGGTGTTAAATTACATCTTTTTGCAACAGGCTGCTAGTAACACAGCGTGTAAAGATAAAATTTAGGTACAAGGACTGGACT